GAAATTTGTTGAGTACGTTGAAGACATAGAAATGGTCATGCAACTTTCACGTCTTGGAATTTTGAACCCAAAGTTACTGAATTATGACAAGCTAGAAAGCATTAACAGCCAAAATATAATTTTTTACACAAAATAATAAAAAATACGAACCAAAATAACGAACTACTATTTATTTCACATATCCCTATTAAATAAAAAATCATTAACACCTTTAGAATTTCTTATCCCGACCATAACGGATATCAGTTGGACTATTCAAATCAACTATCATATTTTAAAGATGAGAAAAAAATGTATAATGAAGACAATAAAAAAGTTAATCAATACGATGAACCAAATATTATACTGACATGGAATCTCACTGAAACTACAATCACTCAAAAAATAAATGGAAGCAAAATTATTAGAATAAAAACATGTAAAGTTAAAATTGGAAATTTTATTTTAATTGGAATTTTATTTTTAAGAAATTTTTATTTTTTAAAAAATTTTTAAGAAATTTTTATTTTTTTATTTTACATTAAATTCGCTATTAATGTAATTAATGGCTATCAAAATTTCGCTATCATCAATTAATGTAACTAAGATACAAATTTTAGAAAATAATGACGTTTTAAAACTAATTTCAGAAAACAATACCACACTCTACGTAACTATAATAACTGTAGTTATTATTCTTATTATTTTTTTTTGTCCTAAGAAACATTTTTACACTAAATCCATTCAAACACTAAATTTTACTTACCATTTTATATACAAAATTTAGACAAAAAGAAAAAAATAATAAAGAATCACAACAAGAAAGAAAAACGGCACAAAACCAAAATCCTCGTTCACTAATTCTACTCAGCTTTGTCCTTAGTCAACTGACGGGACATTAGTTTGACTCATTTAAATAGTAATCAATTTTACTATATAACTGAACAATCGGAAATGGTATTTGCGGTATGTGGTAGACTTTTTTTTCGATTTTTTATTTTAATGAATTGGCTGAATTATGATAATCTCATAAGGATCGGCCAACCATATCCGATGTTTGCGATATTTATCCGGTTTTACCTGATAGTGTGTATCAACTTCGGCTACGCCGATCTGTTTATATAGATAGATGCTTGGGACTTTTATTTTGATATTCTCATAAGGATCGGCCAACTATATCCGATGTTTGCGATACATATCTGGTTTTAAATGCAAGGGTATATCAACTTCGGCTCCGCCCAAAGTTAGCTTTTCTTTCTTGTTTAGATATTTTATGTTAAATTCAGGGACCGTAAATAATGATTATTGTCGCTAGTTTTAAATGAATAAATCAATCACTTCCAATCAACATAGAACAAGCATGACTAGCACGTTTTTATATTTAAGGATACACTATGAATATCCTTGATGATTTTTAATTTTTAATTGTTGTATTTATTATTCTATTGTTAAACATTATTTTTGAGCAAAAAAAAGTAAAAATCAAAAATAATCATTAAGCTTTTTTATTATTTAAAATAATCATTTTTATTTTTTTCGCTCAAAATAAAACTCACCAAGCAACATCTATTTTTAGAACTCCACATGTATCCGTTAACAAAAATGTGAACCTATGTATGTATGTGTGACTGCTCGCTCGACGGAGTAAAAATGTTTGGCTTCCGAATTTCAATTTCTCGTTACTGTTTTCGATGCGCCGATGTGGTAGTTGGTAGAACAAATAGTATTTTTAATCACCACAGATCGAGACAGGATGGTAGCGTAATGCATATAGTAGTTACTCTATGTGCAATTTTTCTGTGTTCAAATCCTCGTAAGGACTTTGAACTTATTCTTTGTTTTATAATTATAATTTTTTTTATTTTTCTTTAATTGTAATATTTTTCTTTAATTTTACAATTGTTGGGGAGAAAATTGTTTTATTCTTCATTATGTCCCGCTAATAAAATGCTAATAAAATTTCAAGGGAGTCCTTCCGGCATTTTGTCATCCGACACTTCCGTCACTTATTTTTACAACAATTGTAATAGAATGCAATTAAAAATAATAGTAATAATAATAACGTAAAAATTATAAAAAAAAAAATTAATGCAAAAAATAAAAGTAAATATAAAAAGAATCATAAAACTAAAACTTTATCAAAATCGAAACCGCCCGCTAATGAAATCGAACCCAGGACCCCATGAATAAGGACCGCGCACTATCCATCTAGGCTACCCTCGAAGTTAATTTTATGATACTTAAAATTGGTGTTAAAGGAGGCGCTAGAATCCATACCAAAAACAAAGTTGACAAGTAAGGATAGTAAAAGATATTTCTGATCTCGTTACTCTTACATTGGTTTGATTACAACGTTTCAAACTTTCATCGTTCCAAAGATGTTACGATCTAAAAATAGAATTCTCTCTTTCCCTCTCTTATATGCCAGCCGTTTGTCGTGGAACCCGCTCTCAAATGTTTTCATTATTACAGCGGGTTCCACGACGGAAAAAATGAAAACATTTGAGAGCGGGTTCCACGACGCGGCCTGCCAAAATGCCGTAGAACCCGCACTTATAGACATTTTTACAGCGGTGATTTTACAATTTTGTATTTTTTTTTATGTGATTATAAATTTAGAAAAACACATTAAAAGAATAAAAATATAATATAAATAGATTTAAAATTAAAAAAAAAAATGGATGTCCCGAGCCTGGTTTGAACTCGTTTTACTTTGCACACCAGCCAAGCACTCTACCACTCGGCTATTCCTCATTCGTTGTCGCGCGAAAAATTTCTTAAACTTAAATTGTCGCGCAATGGAACCCGCTCGTTCCAGCGAGTTCCACTGTTGGAATGAGATGTATGAGATGTCCCATCTATGTACCTTATAATCTATATATATAAAAGAACAACGTGTTTTATGTTACAACACTTATAAATCAAGAACGGAAGAACAGATTTGAGTGAAAATTGGTAGGGAGGTAGCTTAGAGCCAGGAGAAGGACATAGGATACTTTTTGTCCCGTTCGACAGCGTTCCTCCCTGGCCCATACTTTTTTATTTAGGCAGACAGCTAAGAAGAAAATGTCAAATGTCAAAATGTCAGTTACAAACGAAGTCAAATTCATAGTCAGGCTCTCAAATTTAACAACGAACCAAAAAGATTGTGTTGCGCTTCCGGGAAAGTGAAATTGCCTCAACTTGAAGCACCACTAGAGCCTCTGCACTCTCTATTGATATTTGTAAGAAATCAATATTAAAACTATTTCTATTAAATAAATAATTAACAAGTGGATTGAAGTGAAGTGAAGTTTAATTAATAATGCCGCGACCAAGACGATCGAATCTTTCCCGACAAAGCCGTAATGCAAGAAGAATACAAAATACTGCATATGAAAGGACTGAAGAAGAACGAGAAATTGCACGTGAACAGAGCCGCAATAGTAAGGCTCGACTTCGTGCTTCTCAAATAGATTTTAATTTGCGACGAAAATTTTAGCTGATTTGAATCGAGCTGCGTTTCGATACGATTGCAGCAATGATTACAGCTTGCATCCTAGCGTTTGCATTGGGCAAATGGACGTTGTTTGCGAGTATTGTGGTGCATTAAAGTTTTCCGGAGAAACGCCTGGATTATGCTGCGTTAATGATAAAGTGAAGTTGCCAGTAATTCCAAGATCTGCGGCTGCCGACGAAATAAACGCTTGCCTCAAATCGTCAAATCTATGGCGCTATGTGAAGAAACTGCAGCTGATAACAAACATGAGAGTTACATTGCTTAATAATACATCTGCTGAAGATTTCTCGGAGCAATTTCTGACTATCGGTAATGGTCAAGTACCTGTCGATGAATCGAGCGGATTAATATCATTTCCAAATAATTTTTGTAATTTTGTCTCATCAAAAGACGAACTTATCAACAATGTATTTCCAAATATTATTTCCAACTACAAAAATCATGAATGGTTGAGTGAGCGAGCAATTTTAGCGGCTAAGAATAAAGATGTAGATGACCTGAACTACATAATTCAAAATAAGATCATTGGAACAATGCATTCATTCAAATCTATTGACTGCGTCACAAATGAAGATGAAGCCACCAACTATCCAATTGAATTTTTAAACTCTTTGGACGTGCCTGGCTTACCACCGCACAATTTACGCCTAAAGGTTGGCTCCGTAGTAATCATGCTTCGAAACATAAACCAACCAAAACTGTGCAACGGTACGCGTTTGGTGGTTAGTAAATTGATGAACAATGTAATTTACGCTACGATAATGATAGGAAAATTCAAAGGTGAGGAAGTTCTAATTCCGAGGATCCCGATGATCCCAACCGATATGCCGTTTGAATTTAAAAGACTTCAATTTCCGATACGTCTTGCATTTGCCATGACAATCAACAAATCACAAGCCCAATCCTTAAAAGTTTGTGGTTTAAATCTAGAACATTCATGTTTTTCCCATGGTCAATTATACGTGGCATGTTCACGGGTCGGAAAACCATCTGCGTTGTTTGTTTTTGCGCCTGATAATAAAAAAAAAAATGTCGTGTATCACAAGGTGCTTGAGTGAAGAGCAACCTATATACTAAAATACAGAAATAATAATGAATGATTAAGGAGGAGAAACAAAGAATATTGTATACCCACAAGTATTACAGAATTTAATTAATTTGAAAATTATTCTTTTTTGTTTGACTTATTTTTTATGCGTGCAACAACAATATGCCACAGCGAAACGTGGCAGGGTACTGCTAGTCTTTGATATAACTGATAATTTGTTGTTTTTAGAGGTGTTAAGCTTTGGTCTTTTTAGAGTTAGAGAGCTGGGTTTTTCTATGGCGATATTATTCGACACACCAAATATCATAAAGATCGGCCAACCATATCCTATAGCTGTCATATAACTGAAAGATCGAAACCAGAAGCGATCTCAACTGCAAGGGTATATAAACTTCGGCTCCGCCCGAAGTTAGATTTTCTTTCTTGTTTTATATAAAATTAATTTTAATAATTTCTATTATTGCATGTTAACAGTCCGGGAAAGTGACCGAAAACCTGGTTCTTATGTTTTAAGTTATTATGGGCGCACCGGAATAAACCATTTTCGGTAAGTACGATAAAGATTTTTAATTTCATCTTGTAATTAACTAAATTTTTTTAATAAAGACCTTATTTCTCTAAACAAAGTTTATAATCTTTAATAATATATTTAACGTCTCCAACACATATTTAATATGTTTCTGTAGAATATTATTGGGCATTGCATTGTATTTTCATTATACCCTTGCATAGGGTAATATAATTTTGGTCAAAAGTGTGCAACACAGTGAAGGAGGCATCCTCCTGACTTTATATAAACATGTCCATCTGTCTGTTTCTACGCAAACTAGTCTCTCAGTTTTAAAGCTATCGACTTAAAACTTTGCACCTACCCTTCTTTCTTTAGCACACAGTATATAAGTCGGAACGGCGATGATCGGCCGACTGTATCTTATAGCTGCCATATAACTGAACGATCGGAAATGGTTTTTGGTAGAAATACCAACTTTGGCATATTTGAAGATGGAAGCTTGTTATACCTTTGCAGAGGGTATTATAATTTTGTCCAAAAGTGTGCATCGCAGTGAAGGAGACATCTCCGAAAGTATATATATTCTTGATCAGGATCACCTCCTGAGTTGATATGAGCATGTCCGTCTGTCTGTTTCTACGCGAACTAGTCTCTCAGTTTAATAGCTATCGTCTTGAAACTTTGAACACACCCTTCTTTCATTTGTACGCAATATATAAGTCGGAACAGCCCGTATCAGCCGACTATATCCTATAGCTGCCATATAACTGATTGATCGGAAATGGAATAACTGTTGTGTTTTTACAGTTAGAGAGTTACAAGCCAAATTTCATAAGGATCGGCTGATTATATCCTATAGCTGCCATATAACTCAATGATCGGAAATGACCCAACTTTCGTTTTTTTAAAGATAGAAAGCTGGAACTTGGTACAGATTATATTTTTGGTCAGTTCATCCGACCTACCAAATTTCATAACGATCGGTCGACTGTATCCTATTGCTGCCATAGAACTGAACGATCGGAAATGGTATTTGGTAGAAATACAAACTTTAGTATTTTTGAAGATAGAAGTTTGGACCTTTTTTTTTAGATATTTTATTGTAATGAATTGGTTTTATTATGATATTCCCATAAGGATCGGCCAACTATATCCGGTGTTAGCGATATATATCCGTTTTTAACTGCAAGGGTATATCAACTTTGGCTCATACGATATACCATATATCCGATTTTAACGGCAAGGGTATATCAACTTGGGCTCCGCACGAAGTTAGCTGTCCTTTCTTGTTTATCAAAGAGATTGAAGGTTCGGGTAGTGCCCTAAGAGATTTTAAACTAGTTCTTCTTCAACCTTGTTCCAGTAGCTACGGCAGTAGCCAATGTAAATTCATTCGCCTAGCATGTGTTCGGACTATCCAGTGCCCCGTATAGACTATGATAGCCGTGTTGATGTGGGTCCAATTCATCCTTAAAAGCTGGGATGTTCTTTGGGGATGATAAAGGAGTAAAGCTGGCGGGCCAACCGTCAGACGGAGTCTCAGCTGAGTTGGGTCTTCCTATTTATGGCTTCTTTGAGTCGATGCTTATATAAGGCCATTGAAATACCAGTACCCTCCATTTCGGAATGGAACGGTGTGGTGGTGCCTATGCAAGCCAATTCGTCTGCTTTGCAGTTTGCTGTTTCTGTAACCTGAGACCCAGGTTAGGCTAATGTCATACTTTTGTGCCATCTCGTGAAGAGATGATCCACAGGCTAAGACTGTTTTTGAGTTGTTTGAGATCGAGTCGATCGATTTAATAGCTGCTTGTCTGTCAATGAATATTCGGTATCAGGAAGTCTAAAATAGACTCTACTCTAGGGCTGCAATTGGAGTAGTTCTGAGGGCGCCACTGAAGCATAATGCTGCCGCTCTCTGAATTTTTTTCAAATTTCTTTAAGGTGATTTTCTTTAAGTGAGGGCTGATCCACCATACCAGAACACTATTCAACAGAATGGGTCTATAATGGCAGTAAAAATCCAGCTCACGATGTAAGGGGACTTGCCCCATTTGAGTGGTGAAAAAAGCTATCGCGGCTTTCTTCGACCTTTCTTGTATGTTTTGTTCTTTGCGCTATCAATGAAGGACAGCCTCTGGTTCTTTAGTTTCGGTGGGGTGAAGGATGGGATTTTATATCTTCGACTGAAGAGGAGTAGCTCTGTTGATTTGCATGTCCCAGGCCCTTGTCCAGTTAGTCAGAGTTTGTGTTTGTTTTGGGTTCATGGGGCCACAAAGAGACAGAGTTTATTTTCCTGTGAAAATAATAACAACGTCGCACGCATATGCCGACTTGCAACCCCCTCTTTCATGTTACATAGAATCGACCTTACAGCTATGTTCCATAGAAGACGGAAGAGGACATCTCCTTGTGGGTTTCCTCTGCAGTCGGCCCTTGAGAGGGTTGATGTGCCTACTGTAGACGTCACTGTCTTGCAAATTAGCAATTGATCAATAAGTCCCACCAAGTAGCCATCTACCCCAAGGGAAGTCAGGGCGTCAGTTATGGTGTTTCTGAGAACGTTGTTAAGTGCGTGGAGGGCAGTTTTTGCGTATTTAGATATAAGCTTTGGGCTAAAAATAGATCTTAGAGAATTGATCAATTTAAAAAAAACCTATTTAGTCTCTTGGGGTAGTATGCGACGGCTTGTCCGCTTTGGGTATGCACAATCCGTTACCCTCCAGGCATCCAGGGAAGTGGGTATCCAGCCGCAGAGCGAATCTTTCGCCACATGTACTACCATCTTCTTTTTTGAGATAGCCTTCGGTTGTGACTGATTTCCTAAGCTTTGCAGCTTGAGCTGTATTATCTATGTCCGACCAGAAAGATTTCCATGAGTAGCGCTTCACTTTTCAGATGGCTTTTATAGATGTGGCCAGTGAGGCCTTATAGTCGACCACAGGCTTTTCTCGTTTTAAGCTTTTGCAAGGTGAGCTTGATTCTCTTTTTTGGATTTTTTTTGTGGCATGCCTTTGTTTAAGGTGTTTCCTGTTTTTTTTTTTTTGGAAAGTTTCTGCCTTAAGCTTTTAAGTCGAGAGTTTTCTATGTATCTGTGGTTGAAGATGCAGTGCTATTTTAGGGGGAGGGGGGGGTTCGGGTTAACGACACGGTTTGTGGTCACGGGGGTCTAACCTCGCGTCATGGTTTGTCACGCAGGGGGGCGGAGGGTAAAAAAAAAAGTCTGAAATTCGCGTCACGCAATATATGGACGGCCCCTAACAAGGATTCCTGGACTAGGAGAATGTCAGCTCCATCCTCAGCCAAATGGAGCAAGCGAGGAGCCGAGGCTGCCTTAGTGGTAGACGTTTATTTGCAGAATTCAAAAGTACATCATCGAAATGCCCCTCCCCCACTGTGACTTTTGCCTCTTTGTCGCCGGATATATCTTCGCCATCCATATGATTCTTTGCCATGCAGCGCAGCAAAGAAACGTCCATTGTGTAGCTTGGCGTCCTTAGCTTCAGAAGCTGATGTTGCCTTGCCTTGGGAGTCAGATCGCTGATTGTTGCACGCCACGCGCTATACTTAAGGGTAAGGTATTAAATTATTTTTTTTCATTTTTTTTTTATTTTTTAAATTGAATGCATAATATCTGAAGAATATTGTGTCAAAATTTCAGGTCAATTAAAGCAAAATTGACGAAGTTATTAGTTATTGACGAAGTTGCTTGCAAATGTTTTATACTGGATTTTTTTGTGTTTAAAACTTTAAAGCGTTTTTCCCACAACTCACGTTTTCAAATTCGGTGCCCCTCATAACGGTGCCCTTTTTTTGGCGACACGTCCGGACAATTGCTACCATTGCCATATTTTTTAAATATTTTTTTGTAAAAATTTTATAAAACATTCTTCTAATGTCATACTTTAATATACCCAACTTAAATAGTTGGTTGAATAAATAAATTTTAACTGTGTCGTCAGGAAAAAAATCACAAAAACATGGCTTTTTTCGCACGATTTGACCTTACCCTCCCCTTAATCAATAAACGAAAGCTAACTTCGGGCGCAGCCGAAGTTGATATACCATTGCAGTTATATGGCAGCTATAGGATATAGTCGGTCGATCCGACTTATATACTGCGTGCAAGGAAAGAAGGGTCTGTGAAAAGTTTCAAGTCGATAGCTTTAAAACTGAGTGACTAGTTCGCGTAGAAACAGGAAGTCAGACAGACGGACATGCTCATATTACCTTAGAGGGTGATCCCGATCAAGAATATATATACTTTATAAGGTCAGTGATGTCTCCTTCACTGAGTTGCACACTTTTGGACAAAATTATAATACCCTCTGCAAGGGTATAAAAAAAAGACCCTTTCTAGAAACATTTCTTACTCAAATTAGGCACTGCGCTTCCTTCCGCTATTAAGTTAGAGAGCGATTCCGGTACCGGCAGTTTTATTTGCACCCAATAAATAATCAACGCGTTCAATTGAATGCCCTTTATTGCGGTTATATATAAATCGGAGCGGAGGTCGACAATGTTGGTCTGAGCGGCGTGATGAGCTTAAGAGAAGTGCAGCTTCCCGGAGCTTAGCAGTGAAATGCATTGTAAGAGAAGGGTCGCTCACCATGGGTGTCGCGAAAGAACGAGATAGGTACGCCCGGACAAGGCTGCGCAAAGTTTGAACAGGGCACAAATACATACCGCGATAATTCACTAGACAGAAAACTGCAGTGATAAGAGGTGAGCAAGCCGACCAAAGCCGACCGACTATTGGCAGCCATCCTCAACTTACCAACTTAGAGAAGCTCAGGTGGCTCATTTCATGTTTGCAGGAGTCAGCCTTGGAGACCGTAGGGACGCTGGAGATTTCTGACGCTAATAATGATGTTCCCTTTGATCATTTGCCCAACCTTAACCTTGCCCAGTAATCGTCTAAAATTACATCGGGTTTGTCTCCCAACTAAAAAATGGCATACTAAAGAAAAGATGCATATCCTTTCTTTCGTAACTATCTGCTGCCGAGTCTCTCAGTTCTATGCTCCTTTTGTCCAGAT